ATAAGGGCTCCACACCATCAATCTGAAAACAATTTCACAGTTAGAAAAGCATTCTGAGGGTGCCACAAAACTTCGCAGATAATGTGGCTGCGGTTTTCTCTGCTGAATAGTCTCACTATATAAAAACAAAAATAGCTTATTTGCAGACTAGATGAGCAGCCATCAATTCTTAATGTTTCCATTTATTTTTATGGGAGATCCCTTTATGTTTTCTTTTGTCTGCTACCCTCCCCAAACAGACTTGCTCGTTCTTCAGCATCCTAAAAGCTGAGTTGTTGTGAATTGTGTTGTACTCTTTCTGAGTGCATCTGAGTCAAATATGTAAGGCAAACCCTGAAGTGGGAATAAATGTGAAGATGCAAAAAACAATAGAAAAGCATCAAGTATTCTTTATAAAATCTTGTTCATATGCTATTCTAATACCTTCTGAACTTCTGATCCAGAGCTATTCAGACAGATTTTTCTTGTGCTCTTATTGAATTTTTTTTTACCTTTTGTAGACTGAAGCAGCAAAGCATTCACTAGTTAGCAAAGCGCACTGATCTAATCTCAAATATAAAACAGATTTCAGTAGAATTTATAGATTAAACGTAAGTGTAACAGCAGTAAGAGTACTGGGGAAAGAAGAGAGAAGAAGGTTGAAGACAAGGTGAACATAGGATTCTAGAAATCATTACCTGAAATGAATGTACAAATTAGGAGGTTTCTGGGAATTCAGTATTCCCAGGTTTGGGGTAAACCATTTTCTGCTCTGTTCTGATGTGAGTTTTCATGGGAGTGTCCCTACAAAACGTGGCACGCTGAGGCTCGGCGAGACCGTGAGGGGCTTTCCTGGGAAGCTGGGTTGGGCACATGCGTGAACCTGCTGCTTTCTCGGCACTGGAGCCCTTTCCCAGAGTGCGCTGAGGCCGAAGGACTATCCCATGCTAGAGAGCACTTCCAGTGATAGAGCCCCATGCCGCTTTCAGTGCAATCAAGTGCTTGCCGGCCCCCTTTAAGAAGCTATTTGTCTAGAATACCCTTGCAGCTATTGAAGCTATGTTGCTACTGCTGCGGTTTTGTCACCGTGTGCAGTGTCAACAGGTAGACAAAAGAGCGTTAAGAATTATTAGTGCCAGAGATAAAGGTTACCAGGCATTAATGATCAAAGAAGCCAAGCATGACTCACCAAACTTCAGGTCTCCGCTGTATTACCCACATAAATCCGATGCCTATTTTTGCATAAAAAGCTGTTCTTCCCAAAGCTATTCAAACGCTGGAGATAAGAGATTATTATGACTTCACGTCATGTTGAGAGACAGGTGGAGGAGAGCACAATGTTTGTGTTGGATTCAAATGTCTGCTGAAGTCATTCCTGTCATTGCTAATTGATGTTGCATCTGTCTTTCGATTGTGATTATTAGGGGAGGAAAAAAAAAAAAGAAGATCTTATTCAGGGAAATAATTACAGTTGCACACTGTTAGATATAAATTTAAAGTATATGGGGGAAGGGAACTACATCCTATAATTTATCAAATTCTTACATCCCTGAAAAATAATTAGGTCATGGGCAGCATACAGGCCCTGCTGCAGAGACTGCTATCAAGGGGATAGCAGTGGTCAGAAATAGGCCACTGGCTCTCATTTATTCCATCCATTTTTTCTCTTCTATTGTGTTTGAAGTATTAGTTTCCAACTATCTAGAGACAAGGCAAAAAAAAAAAACAATGGCAGGCTTTATTAAGAGCTAGAGATATAATCCCCAAGCCTGACAGAAGCTGCACAAGTAAGCTGGAGAGGGGAAAAAGGGAATTCTCCTTATGGCTTGCTTTCAGGAATTTCTCCCTCCAAAGTCCTTCAGTGCAATATAGTTACAGGCAGTACTAAGTCTGCATTGCTTTGGCAAACATCCATTAAAACCAGGATAACCAGCGGAGGCAGTGTAGGAAGTAACTCTTAGTAGATGCCTTAACTCCCACTTGTCTGGCTGTGTGTTTCTTTTTCCTTTTCTTGCTCTGTTTCATGATATGTGTGTGCATGTTAGCTGAATCTTCCACAGTCCAGTTTGTAAATTTGAATGCAAAGAACCTTCCTTCATCTGGTGAAAGTTTGCGGCTGCTGTTTCACAGGCTGAATTAAAAGCCCCAGTGGGTGCTGCTCTCACCTGGGTTCCGTGGCATGGCTTGAGAGTACCAATGATGTCCTTTGCCTATGTACCGTGGGTGACTACAACGTTATGTAAATTATATGAATTTCATTTACAGTTCGCCCCTAAAACATTGTTTGAGAAGCTCTTGGAAGTATGACATCATACTAGTATCTGCAGTTGTGAACCACAGCCTCAGGCACTAAGATAATTTCCTGGTATCTAGGCAATAGGGTTAATGTATAGAACTGCTTCCTGCAGCTTCAAGGACTTATTCTTCTGATAGTTGTCTCTCTAATTTGTACATCATGCTTTTAAAACAGGAAATTTGTTCGTAACTTAGGAATCTAGGGTTGTAATTTGAGATAGTGGCAGATGTTTGAGACACACCGCGATGTGTCAACTTCAGCATTTTTTGTATTTCTGGAAACTGAAAACTAATTGCTTATCAGAAATGTTCATCAGCAAGTTCCTGAATAAAGATTAAAGTTTTATATTAAGGGAGCTTACTGCTTCGCTAACCCCAACTGCAAAGTAACTGGGAGGGATGGACTCCCCCTTCATATACTGTCAAGTTAGGGAATTGTAAAATTAAGGTGCCTTTTTTAGCAAAATTCCGTAAGACATGCATGTCCAGATGCTATTCTAACTTCTCATTTTCATTTGCAATTCAATGTGTGTAAGAGCCTCCAAAAATGAAGTCTTCCAGGAGAATTAACTTAGAGTAATACAAAGTAATAAAAATTGATTGCGGCACCTTCTCCGCTGTCTTCTGAAAATTAATAAATAAAGATAGGCTGTAATGGGTATCAGTGTCTTCTAGCAGGTTTCCTTTTTCCCTCCTTTACATTTCATTACAACAATCAGCTTCACAGTGACTCATTGCCTTCCCTAGGAGCGGGAAGACATCCCTCATTATTCATTACCAAAGGGAGGACTTTGCTGTGCAAAGAACAGCCCTGGCATTCAGCTACCTTGCAAGAGAAAGCAGCTGGTGTCATTTTTCCCCAAACTTTGCCCAAAGAGACAAGAAATAATGCTGTTTAATTGTCTCCATTTATAAATAGCCTATTCACAATAAGAAAATTGCATTTTTAATACTGCAGTCAGGAAAAGAAGATGCACACACATTTCTACATTCCTGTCTGAATTACATTTCTAGGAGCTTGAAGTGAGACTTTAAAAAGTGTAAACATATACATATGCATGCATACATATATATGTGTGTGTGTGTATGTACAAATATGAAATGCAGGAGATAATTTATTATATTAGTTTTTAATTGCAATATGTTGTAGCTGTAGTACATAAATACACAGTCAAAGTGTTTATTGTTTAACTATTCCAAAGATGTATTTGATTTTAAAGGGAGTAGGGAGGGCTGTATTAAAATCAATGGTTTTCTTCATTTTACTAATACAGATATTACTATTCCTTGTCTCTTTTTGCATTCCTTTTGTTTGGATTTATTTACTTAAATATTAAGAGATTGAGCTTGTGTTATGCTTTTATTGTATTTTAATTTGTTTTTTATTAAGTTCTACAGCACAGGCCATACCTCTTTATAAATAAGGCTATGATCATGTATTACTAGAAACCCCATTTCAAACTGTACTTTTGCCAGCCTCGGTTAAGATTTTCTAGGAAGGGACATTATAAATGTGTGATTAGTCTTCAGAAAAAGGAAATTTTGGCTCTGCAGTATTTTTTACTGTATTAACTTCAGAGATTTATAAAACTGCCTTGAAACTGCACTGTAAGTATGTTTATAATTTAGCTGATTTAATAATCCTTGAAGTCCAGTGACTGCACAGACTGCAGTATATTACCTGTAGCATCCAGATGGAGTTATTAGAGAGGTAGGAAAAGACTTGGGATTGTGTTTATCCTTAGCGGTGCACTAATCCGACCTCTGGCTGCGGCTGGGGCTCTCTGGCTCCTTGTTTGCATTTATCCCATTAGGCAGCAGGGGCATGTGCGTGGATGATACAGAGCATTTCATGTTGACAGCGAAACTCAGGCATGTGTATGCCATCAAATCATGGCAGAGCAATTGTAAGGCACCTGATGCGGTAACGTTGTTAGGAAAATGTTCAGGCCAGGCTGTAATTCGCTTTTTCTGCAGGTATCAGTATCTATCTACAGCATGCGACTACTAACGCCACTTTCTGCAGCTGGCAGCTCTTAACGTCTCTCTTAGTCCATGATCCTGTAAACCTTTTTCCATCCAAGGAGCTCTTGATCATGCCTATGGTTCAGTTGCTTGTAGGTATTTGGACTGTCTTATCCCGGTGGAGTAAGAGCCTCTTGAACAAGTAGTGATGTGCAGGATCAGATCCTTAGCTTACATTTATATGTGACAAACCATGGCACGGGATTGTTTTGAAAAGCGTAATAATCCTGAGCACAGCGATTTAAGCCAGGAAGTGAACAATACACAACATAGAGCTGAATTTACATATATTCAAAAAAAAAAAAAAAGGACATATTTTCACAGAAAACTGTTTTTTCTTTTTTCAAACTTCCACTTCACAACAGTTTAGTAACCAAATTTCAACCAGTGGCATATTTCCAGACTAGGTGTTTGAGATATTTTATAATTTTAAAGCAATTCCTGCCAGTCATCCCCCAGACAACACACAGAGCTTCCTTGACTGGTGCTGAGCACTGCACAGGAGCCCACTGACACCTACAGAATTCATCTTTTTGGCCTTTTCTTAATTTTCACTGTATTAAGCCGATAAAAGGATAGCTATTTCCTTTCCAGACTCCCTGGTTTGCTCTGTAATGTACTGTGAGGCATCAATCCACTGAAGTTGCTCAATGAGTAGAGTTGGCTGTGCTGAAACCCACCGTGTGCTTTACTTGCTTTAGGCATCCACTGTGACAATATATGCACCCAGGGTCGCTGGGGACCAAACTGCTCCATCTCCTGTAACTGCGAGAATGGAGGATCCTGCTCACCAGAGGATGGGAGTTGTGACTGTGCACCCGGATACAGAGGACCCATGTGCCAGAGAAGTAAGATTCTTCATAGATCCAAGATTTTTCCATAGATAGGCAGAAGCAAAGCAGAACGAAATGCTCATTTATGGCGCTAACCAGCTTACGATTGCTCAGGGGAAACGTTAGCCCAAAAATGCTTCTTTGACTAAGAAATTCTAAGGGGGAGGCAGCTCAGAGCCGTGTTTTACTACCTTCTGTTTGCTCCTGCTCAAAATACTTTCCTAGATTTGAGGCTGACAAGGTGATGAAAAGGATTTTGCTGTCGTAATGCAATTCCTGGGAGGTAGATCTGCCCTTTCCCTTGTGTTTCCCAGAGCACCATCGTCAAAGCAGAGCTGGGTACGATCTTGCCTTAGGTGTCTTCTTCTGGCCTTCCACAGCACCTAGAGGAACATAGGGGTACCTGGAAAGAAGGAGCAAAATCTTAGTGTATCAAATTCAGAAAAATCTGGGCAAAAACAGCTTCACAGTTCTGTCATGGCAAACGATAGGACACCTATTAAACACAGATGCTGCGGGGTCATAAGCTGCACAAGCACTGATGCAACTGGAACGGAACATGGAAGAGTGCAGCTTGGATACTTATGCTTTATTTTGCTGGAGTACCACATGAGGCCCAGGGAATGAAGGGGACAGCTAGTCTGGGAAGACCACAGCTCACCCATTACACAAAGAGCAACGTGAGCTAAAGCCCATCACCTCTTGACAAGTGGATCAACATTAGCCACCAAAGTGACAAATCAATGTTTTCTTATATGCTAGAAAAAGAAACACAGCAGCCTGAAATAGCTCCTGCCTGATGATCTGCTGCTGCATATTAAACTGTGCTGAGGAGATAAAAATCCTCTCATTTGCTTTCTCTGGGAAACAGCATTTGCCCCTTAGGGACCTTTACTCACTGATCCAAACCGCACGCAAACTTCTTCCTATGTAAATAAGAAATGGATTCAGCTTTCTTTTCTGCAGTAGCCCTTGTTCTTCCTGTAAGACATTCTCTGTGCCCAGTTCTTATATCCCCCCTCATTTCACCAGTTACACTTGACACTAGGACACACTCATCTCTAAAAATAATTTGTAGCTGACAGTTTTTATTTAAAGCCATTATAACTATGACCTCTAGCACTGCTGTACTTAATGGCCTATAAGCATTTCCATTATAAACTCCAGTTTCCAGGTGCTTCAGCATATCTATGTAGCTGTAAAACCTCTCTCCAAGGCTGAAATGTGGCACTCAGAGCTTCAGGGAATTGGGGAAGAAATTGTTTTACAAATTTGAAACCCTAAGAGTGCAACACCTCCAGAAGGTAATAGTTTCTGGCCTTTCTGAGCTGAAAAAAACAGCTTAGTTTAATCAGCTAATGGCACGTAGGCTACAAGAGGCAAACCATGTCCACAGCTTGCAACTCCAGTAATCAGGCTGTGCCCTGAGGACGTTTGCTGAGGACTTAGTGGAGAGAAATTCTCCTTCGCATGGGGGTGACAGCAGAGGCATTCTGTGGATGCTTCTGCTATTGGCTTATGTTGCTGAAATCCCCCCCCGGGAAGATATGAGTGGGGAGCATCATTTGCTCCCACTTTGTCTGCTGAATTTGGGCTCAGGACTCCCTTGTGAAAAGGCTACTTCTGTAGCTGAAGGTAGCTTTGGTCTGCTGCCTGTGCTCTCAGGATCGTTCCCGTTTCCTTCCTGCACATTCAACTAAGAACAGGATTTAGCTTGTAAAGAGCAGCACCAAAGATGGTCCTCGTCCAGCTTGTCCTGTCTGTGTGATCAGGATTACATGAGAGATCACAGTAGTTTCCTGCTCTCACACCTGCAGAAATGTCTGCTGGAATGACCCAGGTTGTTTTATGGATAGTGCGTCATCAACAAAACTGTCAGCTAAGTTCCAGCTAGAAATCTGCAGTAGCAGAAGCAGCTAACCTCTTCTGTGAACATACGGACCAAGAGAAAATTCTCATTCAGGGAAAAAATAGAACGGACATGATATAGTAACCACTAGCCAGAGCCATATAATAGAGAATCACAAAAGGAAAAATAAAAACATATAAAGTCATTCTTACAGTTACCTACTGCAATTTAATGACTCTTTGTGCTTATCGGTAGCTTATCTGTAGCAGTGAATCTTTGGACAGTGGTTTTTCATTCTACGTGGGCTTTGAAGCAAAAATAGAGGTTTGGAAGAGATACTGAGCCCTACTCCTGGCACTGTACCTCGAGGACAAATTCGATAATAATTTCAATCCAAGTTTTAAGCTAATTAAGCACACAGTTCATGACAAGTTTACTCATCTATCCAATATGATTACTGATGCAAATTAGGTGATCTTGCATGCTGTTATCATAATTAACATTTTTAGATTCTGTTCCTCACTGGTGGATGCTACTCCTGCAATGACATGTACAAACTGAACGTCTCAGCTGAACACACGTATTGTACCTAATATGTTTAGAAAACAGCTTTTGACATAGTTATTTGGAAGCAAAATACTGAGAGTTTCCTAATGCACCTTCTCTGATTTCTTAGCTTAACTTCCTAAGGAAACGAGCTTCTGAAGCTCTGTTGTCTGTGCATAGGCGTGTGTGTATCTCTTCCTGCCTGTCTGAAAAGCTTTGAAATATGTTACCGAGTACTAACCATATCTGCCAGTGGGGTGTGAGGCCTCAAAGGTCTTAAACTTCCATATTTCGTCAAAGTGTGTAGCTGGAAAGGGTCAGAGAGGCTCAAAGCAGTGTCTCTCTCGAGAAGGGCTACCATGAGAGCTCAGCTCAGCTGTGTTATTAAATAGCGCCGCACTTCCATGAGGTAGGATCCTGTGAATGTTTGAACCGCCGGAAGAGTTTTACTCAAAGCTTACACTTTATTAGCCATGGGATAATCCAGCCATGAGATAAAGCCATAGGAAAACAGGCTTCATAATTCCCGCTGTTCACAAAACTGTGTGTTCTTGGAAAATAAGAAAGATAACTGGCTTGGGATTAGGATACAGAGAGCATACTAAAGCTTTGTGGTGAGAAGTCTTCCTGAAACCTCTGAGGGCTTGTTTTGTTCTGTCTTCAGTTTGTCCACCTGGCTTTTACGGGCACCACTGCAGCCAGGCATGCCCTCAGTGCGTGCACAGCGGCGGGCCGTGCCACCACGTGTCGGGACGCTGCGACTGCTTGCCTGGATTCTCTGGCCCTCTCTGCAGCCAAGGTACGCAGCGCCTACCCCCGACTGCCACCGGGTATCCTACGTGTATCCTACTCTTTGCAGCAAGACTGATCACAAGGTTTCTGGCCTTTTTAAAAAAATGTTCTTGTTTCGACAGTTTAGATCACGGGAAAGTCTTTACTTCAGAGGTGAAATGCAAATAGCTACTTAGTCACCCTTTTGTAAAATGATGTGCTCCTACTTTCATAAATAAAACAGGCCTACTGCTCTGTGTTTAAATGAATTCACAATGAGACACACGCTGTAAACATATCAGCTATTCGGTGGTTTCATTTCCCCTTTTGGCCAGCCTATCTTATCCTAAACTTTGATGGTGCTTTCAAGCACTCTTTTTTCAGCATGAGGGGTAAACATCCATTAATATAAAGGCCTGCATTTGCTAGCTCAGGTACATAAACCCAAACACCCAGATAATGCCTGCTACCTTATTTACGCTATCTAGGACTCTGCAAACGGCTGAAATAATGTGCACCCAATTACAAGTGTAGGGGAGACAAAAACTGGCCATGAGGCAGCAAAATCACAGGCGCAGTCTAGCCTCGACTGCCGAATGTCTGTCACCTTTCTGTCCCTTTGAAAGCAAGTTCACCTTTAACCGTGGGCTCCATTTTTAATCTTATCCTAAAACTGCCTGCAAAATCATTACCATATTCTGCAGAGTCTGAGTTATGGCATACTACTGTGGGTATTTTCTGTGCACTGATTTAAAAGAGATTATTCTTAATGGCTACTGCCCTTGTGAAGTCACCATCCTTGTAAAAATTGAACTGACACTTTTTAATGACCTGCTTTTCAGTAAGTTAGAAATTGCAGACAGTACTTATGCAAAATCATTAAACATAGATTAAATATAACCATGTTTTCTTTTCCTTATGCTGCACAGTCAACTAAACATTATACCAATTAATATATTAGAATGAACATATTTCAATGAATTTGTCCATTTTATGTGAAAAGTTAGCCAGTTTTCAAAGCATAAGCAGGGCTAATTATCCTCTTAAGAAAACTCGATTTTGTTTTTGCTCAGATGTTCAGCACTTCTGGTTTTACTTTGAAATGTTGATCTATCCAGCAAATTAATTTTAAAATATTCATGTCCTAATTAAAATCAATTTGTGTTGCAGTTTGTCATAATGAGTTAGCTTGTAACTTTATTTTGTAGAAAGAAGAATGCTAATTAAAGTTTTCCATTAGAAGAAACGTGAAACAAAGATTTCACTTTTGTGTTTTCATCTTCTTGTGCTGTCACTCTCCCGGCAGCGGGATGTTCCTCCGCGAGCAGCCCGTGCGTTCGGCGCGCTCCGTAACCTCACTAATCCCACAGGTGGCACACTCGTAAGGCCGTTTCTAAGCAGCAAACAGCCAAGCAGCTGTTTTTTGGAGTATCTTTCACAACCATGTAGCAAGCTGGATTGACAATATGTTATAGCTGCAAGAACACACCTGACATCTCCCAGGGACTTTTGGAGGCTCACTTTAGGGCTTTTATAGCTAATTAACACCACAGTCTGCGCTGAATAAAGCAGTATTCATCCTTACTCTACAGCTTTGTTTAAAAATATTTAAAGCATTTTAAGACATGCATGTATTTGGATCTCACAACTTTACAGGAGAGTCATTGTGTCAGTCTGCAACCAGATTACGTAAACCAATGAGCACAACCCTTTTGGCAGGATGGGTCTTGTAATCCCTCTGTGCTGACGCCCTGCAGTGCACCATACTATTTCACTAAAACAAGAGGTGGTCACACAGTAGAAACCCCTCTGCTCGCTTTCATCTGTGGAGCCGAAGCATTTCTTTTACCAAATATGACCTGTTACCTTTGTCAGCATCAGTGTTTGGATCAAAAATCTATTCTTAATTCATTAGTATTCCACACTACAGTGTAAATCTGCTTCCATTTTAAGTAAGTCTTTTGAGAACTATTTTTTGTACATATAAAAAATCTAGCCTTCGTTTAAGTGATGTTATCTATCTCCATCTTAAAGCTGCAATAAAAATATTGCATTGAACTGCTCTGTGTAGAGCATTGGTATTGAATAATGGTATAGCTTATATGAGAACCTAGGTTGACAGATCGTTTTAGTTTTTACTCTTTCAGTGATATGAGGCCTTTTCTTTCCTTCTCTCTCTTTCTCTTTGTGTCTGTATATTGTTCTTTTCATTACATCTGTATATTGTGTTTAGTTTTATCTCTTTTCAGTTAGAGAACTATTCTGTTTAGCACATAATTTGAAAGCCACCTTATCCATTCCTGCAGATAAGTCTGTAGCTAGACTATGCGCTATTGTTTTCCACACCATTCTTAGGTTTATGCCATAGTAAGAGTAGAGGATGGCATATTGTATAAAAGCAAATGAATCACAGCTCAGGATTTCAATCTGTGGCTGATTCACTGTCAGGAAAGATTGAGGTCACCTACAGAGAATGCCTGTGAGAAAGTGAGAGTGGCTGAAATAGTGAAACAGTTGCATAATTCAGGGAAGTGCTTTAATCACTTTTTTGACATCACTATTATTTACCAGGAGATGAGTCCAGTTTCATTTGTTACGTTCCTCACAGAGATGGGCTATGTGTTTTATCTAGTTTTGAAAATCCATCTGTTTTTGTCAGGGAGCACAGCCAATAAGAGCACAGAAATTCAGCACTTCATTCATTACTCAGCAGAGCTTTCCATCAATTTTAACATTAAAGATTTCCAATAATTTGGTAGGAGGTTGAAGATATACCTGTCTGTTAGCTTTATATCACTGTGCCTAGGCTCTTATAAGATTATTCTGAAGAAAATTCAGTTTCTTTTCTTCCAACTTCAGGAGTAAGCTGAGTGGACCCCAATTTTTTTAGAGTACAGCACATCTGTTTACCAAATCTCATTCAAACATATATTTAATTAATACAATTCATCAGCTGCAGCCCAGCTGAGCACTTAACGACAGTAATGGGTTGCTGGAGATGAATAGGTGGGCAGATGTTAAAAGACAAATGTGACATTTCAGCAATTAGGTGTGTGCTTTCTTGGGGCAGTAGTCTTCCTCCAGGCTTATAGGGTGAAAACACTCGGGGAAGTAGTAGTCGTGCTCCTGGTTCACCCTCCGATGACATAATTTGATTCAGTGAGATGCTGTGAGCCTGCCTCCCAGTGACATTGCTGAGAGTTGAAGATCTTCAGCAGTGTCTCATGTATTTAGTAGCAAAAGGCACATTCCTTCCTCCCCACCGTCTGATCCAGAGGAAGCCAGGCCAGCAATGAGGTAGACACATGGTAGTTCAGGCTAGTGACAGACCTGATAGTAAGAGTCCCTGTTGCTCTTCATCTCTGTGAGACTTCTTTGCTAGGCAGGTATTTAGCCTAAAACGTTCCTTTCCTGACTTAGTGGCTCTCATTATTGAGGTTGTAATCCTGTGAGCCACTGCAGAGCCCTGTCTCAGGGTTTCCACCAAGGGACCCCCTTAGCCAAGTCCCCAGATCAGTCCCTTCTAGATGCTTCCTTGTGTTTGCTGCTCTTCCTTGACTTCTTCCCATTTTACTCTTCTCTTCCTCTCCGAATAGCCCCCAACCCCTGTTCTATCTCTCCTCTTTTCATCCTCCCATAATGCCCTTCAATAATTGTAATCTTCTAACTATATTAGATGCATTTTCCAGCAGAAATACGAATTCCAAGGTGACTTTTTTCTGCTGATGTTTTTATGCCTGAAATATCAGCAAACTGTTAGACTTGAATACTTTCTGCCTTTTACTTCCTTCCAGTAAGAATTTTGCCCATTTGGCTTACACAAGGAAAAAATGTCATAATTACATTTATCTCTAATCACTAAATATTAAGTCCCATGACTTCCTAATATTCATGACCAAGAGCCTTGAGTAAACTGCCTTGTATTTCCAGTCTGTCCCAGTGGCAAGTATGGGAAGAACTGTGCTGAGGACTGTCAGTGTACCGAGAACGGGACGTGCAACCCTATTGATGGATCGTGTCAGTGTTTCCCAGGCTGGATAGGAAAGGACTGCGCACAGAGTAAGCAAAGCAATTTCTCCTGTTGAGTGTTTTCTGAAATTTAAAGATAGATTCCAGGGAAATCCCTAAAGTATTACAGCAGTCAGTGCCTTACTCTCTTTATAGCTTATTTCTTTTAATTATTCTAAGTTAGCTTTGGGTTGAATTAGTTTCTGCATTTGGAATTTGCAAAAGCAGTTACTAGCTTCTGTTAGAGGAGAGGGAGGTCACAAGCTCTTATCAGAAAAGAAAGCTCCATGCTGCCTTTTAATTTCTAGCTGAATTCCCTTTTACTTATTTTTGAAATCATTTTCTTTCAGCTATTACGTTAGAAGTTATTAACCAGTAAATGTTTTCATGTACCAAGCCCACAGAATTGAGAAATTAAGCAGCTGAAATATTTCTATTAAATGTAATTTAACTGTAAAAGTCAATGTGGGCTTGAAGGGATGCAGGATTTCTTCTTGAAAATTGCCCAGGTAGAAGACTGGCATTTGCTGATCCCAAAGTGTCATTTCCTGAGAGCATCCCTTAATTGAAGATAGATCACAGAGGGAAGCAATATCCTATCATTCAGAAATGTTACTTCATATTCAGGATACAACTAGCATATTAGACAGCATTCCAGAGTAAAATATATTAAACTTCAAATGATAAAGTAGGAATCGGATAAAAACAGACGGCTGTAATTTTGCTTTTATTGTGTGTCTTGCACAGGCAGAATATTGCTGTCACTCAGAAAAAAAAAAGAGGGGAAGGAAAAAAAGACAGAAAGCTGTACAGGTTCCTCATTATATTTAGCCATGTAATTGGGAAATGACTGTTAGTTTCTGTTAACCTTAAAAAAATGAGTTTTTTGCTTGCTGAGTGAGGCAGGCTGGTTCAACAGCAACAATTTCCAATTTAGGCAGAAGGACGTGGTGATAGTTACTTTGTATTTTGGACTCACAAAGTAGGAACCTCACTGTTTCCTCAGTTACTTCTTGTAAAGAAAGTGTGCATCTCCCACTACGAACCTGGCGTCTCGCCCGGCCCCTGTTGGTACCTGGCCTAGTGTACCAGAGCCAGCGCTGAGCTATTTCGGTCAAGCTTCTCTGCACCGGTTAACCTGGGATGACCGAGAGATGGAGCTGCAAAGGAGATAATTTTAGCTCCAATTCCAGAGCCAGTCTGGGAGATGTTCACAGACTCTGCAGCTCTTACGTAGAAAGGCATTGTCAAAGTATTTCGGGTTGCTCGTAGCACGAATAGTTTAGGCCAAATCCTGTTCAGATTGATATTGTGTAAGTTCGGTGACCTCTTGTTTGATTTACGTCATGGCAGAATTTTTGCTATTCATTTGGGCTTTAGATATGTCTGTCATATGCCAGAAGCTTGCATTTATCATCAGAACTGGAGCCAATGGCACACATTGAAATAAGCACTGTTTCTATACTTTCAGGTTTCCTGGGAACCATGCCTTATTAATTCATGTCTTTACTAGCAAGCAATGGAAAGTGCTTTTTAAAGCAAAAATATAGTTGTTATGTTGAAGGGTTATCATCATTTCGGATCTTTTAGTCTGGCATTAATAGCTGTGTAACTTACTGCATTCGTTTTTGGAGGGTAGCTTAAAATAGCTTTTGAAAATGTGTTAATATTGTACTTGTTGAACTATATAATAGACCTGGAGATTTTAATTTAATATTAGCCCCATCAACAAAAGCAATCTGATTTTGTGGATGGGAATTCATACTGATAATAAATTTTCTTTACGTTTTTATGTAATTTGAGTAGCACTCTATACTTCAAATGAATGTGGTAATTTTAGTAGTTGATTGCATAGCAAATGTAAACCATGAATAGCTGTACTTTATTATGCAAGAATTCCAGAATATCAAAAAGAAAATTAAATTACTTCCATATCTTAAAACTCTGTCTGTATTGTCTTCACAGATAATGCCAGTAAGGCAGGGAGAGCAGAGAGAGCACTTAGAGTAATACACTGTCTAGGGTCACTGTTTCAGTGGCTCTCGGTGCATGTAGGCACCCGATCTTGCAAGCTGATCTACATGGGGAAAAGAAGCACTTGTGCCAGGGTTTGACAGCTGGGGTCAGGCTACAGGTTTGCAACCTGGCTGTGCAAAGCAGCGTTCAGTTCAGAAGAAGCAGTCATTGCCGAGAAATCGCTGTGGTGATGCTAAGCTCTGCAATGCAAAGTTCTGCCTCTGCTGGTGTCTCCCAGGTTCTGTCTTTGTTGTTGTTCCTCCGCAGCACCAGTGCAGCGTCATTGCTTTTTTGTCAGCTGACAAATCTTTTTTATTTTCCTAGCTTGTCCCACTGGTTTTTGGGGCCCTGATTGCTTTCATTCCTGCAACTGCCACAACGGAGCAATGTGCAGCCCTTATGACGGAGAATGTAGATGTACTCATGGTTGGACTGGGCTCTACTGCACTCAGCGTAAGCCTCTCCCAGACACTATTCTACCAGGGAATCTGTCAAAGTGTGTGCTGCTACCTCGTGTCTGTTCCAAATATTGCAGTCCTGCCTGCTAAACCACCCGCTTAGTGCTTGTGAATAACTTCTGTCATCATGGAGAAAAAAGTCCTGAAGCTTTTCAGGGTTTTTTATGCCGTTCCTGCTCAATGAAGGAGGAATCGATTATTTAGATTATTGATTCATTGTCATAATTTGGCCAGGTGTTGTCCCTGCTTGTTAAAGCCCTGCTACGTGAGATCTGGTATAGGAAGATGTTTGGTCGTACTGGGGCCAAATTATCAGCCCTGTATGAAAGAGGAGACCAAATTCTGGGGAGCCCTCTCATTTGCAAGTAATTAACTGATATTTGGCCTTTAAGGCAGTTTCCGTTTAGCCATCTTCTTTCGCTTCTTGAAAATGCGGTTTGTATAGATGGGTCAAACTTGCTTTTTTCTGAAACACTTAAGAGGCAATTTTGTAAGATGTGAGAAACACTACTTCAGGAAAATTGGCTGTCGTAGTATCTCTGCGTTTGAATGATCAAATAAATGTTATTAAATATACAGAGGCTGAAAATACATACATTTATAGGGCTACATATTTTGGGCTGTTAACGTGTCTGAGTTTGTGTTTCGGTTTATTTCTTCGTGTTTCCTTATTCTGCTTCCTGAAAGGTTGCCCAGCAGCTTTTTATGGGAAAAACTGTGCCAATGTTTGTCAGTGTCAGAATGGAGCAGACTGCGACCACATCACGGGGCAATGCACGTGCAGGACGGGATTTACGGGCAAACAGTGCGAGCAAAGTAAGTAGCACCATTACTTCATTTTTGCATTTCTCCTGTGGGGGCTTTCTTTCAGAATTCCTTGCAGAAATAACAGACTTAAACTGTTCACAATGAAACGTGAAGGAGATTTTCTCAAATGAACATATCCTATGAGGGTCATTGAAAATGGATTCCCAGAGGGAGGACTTTCAGATGTAAGTGGATATTGCATGTAGTCCAGGGAAACGTTTGTGTCTGACTGTTGCTGTGAGTTTCTTTACTTTATTCAAGATGGCATGGCCAGTTTAATTCTCCATTGGGAGAGATGGAAGAAACAGCCTTTCCAGGGGTGGGGTGGGAGAATCACATCCAGTAATTCCTGGACTGGAATATGGGCTCCCTGTGTTGTGCGTTTTCATTCTTCACCCTCACCCCACTGAAGCTGCAGTAAATTGTACATCTCACCTTGATGCACCGAGCAGGTACTGCTTGGCTTCTACTAGCATTACTAAAGCTAATGACTAACCTCTTCCAACTGCTACCCAGCAACTGCATCCGTGCGTTGGGATGCAGATCACCCAGCTGGACCTGTGAGGCCCTGCGAGGCCCTGTGGGCTTAAGAACTGAGCACCCCTCCGCTGGAGTTCATCCCCCCACCCCATGGCAGGCTCCTAACGGAGGTGTTGAAGTGAGCAGGACAGCAGCCCCAGGCTACTAGTACTTTGCTAGTGCTCTTGAGGGCGACAGTAGCAGGTTTCCCTAGGTGTGGAGGAAGAAAGAAGTGCTAAAAGAGAGAAGTCCTTTCTGCTCTCTGACTTCCAAGCAGGACTGGGATTTTCTTACCTTGCTGTGTCATAGGTGTGCAAAGATTATAGATTCCTTTTTACAATGAAAAAAGATCAAGGAAACAGAAGTTTATCATTTTTGGAAGGGTATACATTTAACTTCAGTAATAAGGCAGTGAGGAGAATGAACTTGGGCTACCTATGCAAGGATACCAGCATATCCTGTTGTAATTGCTGTCAATGTCTTGCTGGCATAGTTAGCATGCCATGCCAGACAACTGCTTTTAAAAACAAAGAATTAGGATAGTGGAACTGTATGCGCTGTAGCTGAATAATTACTTGTTTGTCTAATGCAGTAAATCAAAAGAAAATTCTCACACACTTACTTGGACTCCAAACAGAGGATAAAATCCATCTCACCTTACCCTGGCATTAATTCCACAGGTTTTTGTGTTTTGTTTTGTTTTGTTTTGACAGTAGAGTAATGCAATAACATTCCTTTGTAAATAAAAGGCCTACCTCAAAGCTTCTTAACTGTAGCTTACTACATGGATCTTTATCTGTATGTATAAGAAAATTCACAAACATCTTCTCTGTTGGCACATCTTTGCACTCAGTAAAGTATGTGGCTCAGGAACAAGTTTGCATGCTCATGTGGGGAATATGTATACCACCTCTGTAAGTGGCCAAATTACTGTTGCCTTGCATACATCCTTACTGCAGCCATGCAGAAAGCAGG